GGGTGGGTGTGTGTGTGTGTGTGAAGGCGATGTGCTTGCACAAGTTGACAAATAATTGCAAAAGAGGGCACGCGTGCGTAAGTGTGCTTCTGCACCAACGCATGTAGAACCAGACCGAGTGAAACAAAGAAGAAACCAAGAATGAGCACAATAAAGAGTTAGATAGAACGGGGGGGAACAGTAATTACGCATAATTACGCCGACTCGACACTCGCAAAGACCCTGTGTTCGCGGCTTCAACTCCTGTGGCGGTGCTCAGCTACTTATGTCTGCACAGAGGACTCTCGCCCCACAGTAGCATGGCGTTGAACCCAAGTGACCCGTGCCTCGCAGCAACGCATTGAGCAAGTTCGGTTTTGCTTCTCCGCAACTTGGGCTCGAGAAGGGCCCCCCAGGGCGTGCGACGCACGCTGGCAGGGGCCATGAGTGCCATGACTGCATTTCGTTTCTTCGGTGGCTCATGCGCTGATGGTCGAAAGTTGAGGGTTGAGGCTTGAGGATCGCGTGAATGTTTCTCTCAAAGACAGTCCCCGGAATCGCGACGTTTTCCGCACCAGCGGAACATCGATGCTTTGACGACACTAAAACAATCTAAAACAGAAGGCAATGAACTTCTGGCAATCCTCAGAATCAGGAACAGCCATTGGCCATACCGAATTGAAAGCCCTCCAGCTTGGCACGACGAGTGGCCTCCAGCTACTTAGGGCGCCGACGTTGGGCTTCACAGGTTCTTGAATCTTATTTGCACAGCGCTGCGGCTGCCAGCAGAAGCGTCAACGAAACGACACGGCCAAAGAATGCCAAAGAAGCCAGTAGCATGGAAGTTGCGGAGCATGGTCTGCAGATGCAATGACACCTGGCTTTTCCATATCGAACACCACGGCAAGATGGTCAACACCAATTGCATGCTACAGTTGAGGCGGCATGTCTTGTTCCATCATTTTCGTCCCAAATCCAAAAGCTACCAAAACCCAAGATCCCATGTCATGCGAAAAAGAGGCGTTAAAGAAAACGAGAACCGGTTATTTGGATGCTTGCGGAAGGTGCCGTGCTCATCAAAACCCACTGTGGTTATGACGGCCTCCGGACTCATGTGGAGGAGTTCGGTCCCCAGTCTCTGCTTTGCACATGCGATGCATGTGCTACTTGTGCACATGTTGATCTTGAGATCTGCGGGTTTCACACACGCTGCATCCCAGGCCGACATCCTTCATCGGGGCGACGTGCCGGCCCTGGCTTCGTACGTGCGGTCCAGGGCCCGTTCAGGGTGTGAGAGTTTCTAGTACATGCTTGCATGTTTCCAGTTAATAGTAGAGGATCGACTGAGTCCAGGTTTTCCGGTTGAGCATGCAGGAGCAGGACTCAGCAGCTTCGGGGGGTGCGGGCTTAATGCCCATGGGCCATGTGCCGTCGGCATGATCATCACAGACAGACCCTCGACGAACTGGACTTACGAACAGCACTTGTTGATTTGGTGGCAATCGGTGACTCGTGTTTGTTTCCCGGCATCCCCTCAATTTACATGTTTTTCTGTGCTGCACACCCTCACTCAGACGAAGCAACTGTCCGTCCAGCCAATTGCGATTGCTTGTACTGCTTGTACTCGAGAATCCAGCACAGTCCTTCAGGGGCATCGGCGCTGGCATTGGAGCTGCAGCCGGTGGTGCCTCGGTTGCTGAGGAAAGAGTACGGTGTGGACAGTGGTGCCGTTGATGAGGCTGTGAATGAGGATAATGATGGTGATGATGTGATGATGGTGATGATGATGCTGACAATCGCGAGGGTGATAGTCTTAAGCCGGAGCTCGAGGACCACGATGGCAGTGTGACGTGCTTGATGCTGCTGATGACGGCGAAGATGCAGATGACCGTAACAACGACAGGTATTATGGTGGTGAGTGTGATTGCGTTGATGCTGGTACTGATGATGATGATGATGGCGGTGATGATGAGATGATCATGACGATGATGTGCTGATGGTGATGATGATGACGTTACTGGTGCTGAAGAGGAACAAGGATGGTAATTGTGAGGATGGAGGGGTAGCGTCAGCCGGAGCAGAGCAGATGTGCGTGGATTGTACGATGCTGGTGTCTCCGGTTTCCCACAAGGGGAATAGGGATTCTCGGTTCCGCAGTGAGGCTTGGGTGTCTTCATGCTCTGCAACGCCAAGTGCCCGGGCGGTATCAAGGGCGCCGGCATGCTAGGCAGGTGGCCTCGAAACCTCATGACCGGCATGGCTGCTTGGAACTCTCATTGCCTGTGAAGGTGCCGGACTGAGCGCCCTAAATCCGCTGACGCTTCTGTCGAAGAAGGAGAATGGAACTCCTGCTTAGCTTTGTGGAATGATGTTCATGTCCACGATGATATTGGCGGATGTATGGACAAAAGTCGCGGTCTGCCACAGGCATCTTCCAAACTCGCTTCAGATCTTTGCCAGGACGAAGAAGAGGAGAAGGAGGCGCAGGAAGAAACTGATCCAATGAAAAAGATGTTTAAGCAAATGGACTACATAGAGCCTCGGCTGCCGATGCTGTTAGTGGCCATATGTTTGCAACTGTGTCGGCACTTTTGAGACAATCCATGGCGCACTCAGGAGAAAGAAGTTTGCAACATGAACTGCAAGGTGGCTGCTCTGCATCTTGGCTGACTTTGGAATGCGAGTCTCCTAAACACCGGGAGAAGAGGGCAAGCGGGAAAGAGTTGGAGCCAACGCTCAATGTAATTATCGTGAACTGCTGCAAGGGACCCCGACTACCACAAGAGCCGCTGCATGATCCCACCCTGCCTCCACCGATGATGCCGCTTGTTGCTGTGAATGTCCAAGCCCCGGCACGCACCATGAGACGCATTTGAGCCGGCTAAACCCAAACCTCACATCTAGTCACATGCACTAATGCACTGGAAGTGCATTGATTGATTGGTCCTCGAAGATGAAGCCCGAGACGGAGTAGAAAACTCACACGACAAGGGCTGCAGCCCTGCTTGCACCTGTGAGGGGTTCGCTACTCCTAAAGCGTCATGCCTTCATGTGATGATGGTGACCTAGATGATGAGAATCAGCAAGATAAGACTGTTCATGATCATGATGACCGTGCTGCCAATGTCGTCATCAAGTGTCACCATGAACAACAGCATTAACTAACGCTGCCATCCTTTTGGAGCTTTTGTCTTCTTCCCGCTGTCTCCTACACTCAAGGTTGAGACCGGGACTCAGTGGAAGTGGTGACAGGTCGTGTTGTCTTCATCGCTTCGGTATGTTGTCGTCGCCTCGTTCGTCCACAAGCAGAAGCACGCAGAAGCAGAGGAGGTGCCGATTCGCTGGAACGGTGCTAGTGATGAGGATGCTGGTGGCATGGTCCTGGTAGTGTTGCTGTTGCTGGTCGCATCACTAGCAGCAGTAGCAGTAGCAGCAGTGGAGTAGTAGTAGTAGTAGTAGTAGTCGTCGTCGTCGTCCAAGTAGTAGGTGGTGGTGGTGGTAGTAGTAGTAGTAGTAGTAGCAGCAGCAGCAGCAGCATTGGTGTTGTAGTTGTCGTGGTGGTGGTGGTATGGTGATACGAATGGTGGTTGCAGTGGTAGTGGCAGTGGTAGTAGTAGTCG